AATATATATTATATATTATATTATTATATATATTATATGCTAATATAATATTTGCTAATATAATGCTTGCTAGCATTATTTTTAAAGCTTTGTAATCATATTTCACTTATTATCTCTGTTGTTCTTTATATACTTTAGGAGGCAGGCCAAAAGAGGGCTTTTACAAGTGGGAGATTTCTATAACAAAAAAGAAAAAAATCCAACCATTCTTGTTTTCACAGAGGAAGATAAATACGGTCTGTACTCGAATTTGTTGTTCAAGTATTTTCTGGCAGAGGGAGTTGTCTGTGGACACGAGTTGTTTGTTGCTTCTGCTAAAGAGCATCCGGACAACATCTTAAAGGTAAAGAAGATTCATATCTTTTGACAAGTAAAGCTGTAATCTCTTGATGGATTTAAATGTATTTGAAAGTGTATATATTGTGTAGTAAGAAAGTAGTTAATCCTGGTAATTCATGAGAGTGTGTTGGGAAGTGTAGTAGCAAGGTTTGGGAATTAAATTTAGCTCGCTAGCTTCCATTTATGGACAGTAGAGAAAGACCCTCCCAAGGCCAAATCAGGCTGGGAACCTGCTTCTCCGTTACTTTGATGTTGGTGCAAACCAGACAGACTGACTGGCTTAGATGAATGCTGTGAGTCAACCCAACTGTTCACGGTTTCCACCAGCCTATCAGGAGGAGTACTTAAGCTGCTTCCAATACGTTGTGGTGGAAACAGTGTACGGTTTGTGAAGATATTTGTTGTAGTTTCCTCTAAAAAATAAAAATATCATTTTAACATCTTTCTAACTTCCTTTACACGTATGTTTCATTCTGACTTTTTTCTACTTGGAAACATGGTCAGCTTTGGATTGGGTCATATCGAAAGGTTCCTTTCGCTCTTACTCAAATACTGGTAGCTTCCATGGTAAGGGAAGTGTGTAAGGGAGAAAGCCTGATCAACACTGTGAAAAATGCTGAAGTGTGAGGATAATCCTTCAAAATTTCATTAAATATTTTATGTCTTTCTAAAGCTGCTTTTTTCTAATATCACAAGTAACGTGTAATTTACTGATTACTTCTGCATCAAGTGAAGTTTGACTCTTTCCTTAAGAGTCTTCAGACTATTTCTGGACAAAATGATTACTTTTCTTTTTTCCTACCTAGTGATGGTGGATTCTATACCTTCTCTAGCCAGTATTATCTTCAGTATACAGGGAAAGTATATTCTTAATGAAATTATATGAGTGTGGCTTTAAAAAACTCTAATATTTTTTATGATCTTGAACCAAAAAAGGATTCATGTAGAGCTGAAAATTTTATTACTTTTTCTTGTGGTTTAGAATACAGCCTAAACATATAGGGTAGTATTTGACTGACAAGTATGAATTCAATAAGAACGTGCTGTATTTTTTATATTTATTTTTAAATAAGTGATAAATCATTGACTTAATTAAATTATTCAAATGAATACTTTTATTGCCACTGGGTGTTACCTAAAAAACGTTATTACCTCACTTGGAGAGAGTCGATCCAAGAGTGACATTGGCCACAGTCGGGTCTCCAAACCACAGATGCAGAGTTTTCCATACGAGTCCCTCACTTGACTTTTAAAAGAGAGAACCTCCAGGTGCAGCAGGAAGTCCTCTCCTGTAATAAAAATGAGCTGCTTGAGGTTTGGGTATCTCCACCAAGTCAGGAATTCAGTATAATGTATCTAACTGTTGAATGAGATTGCATTGTTTTTAATGAGATTAGTAATTCATTTGTTTTCGACATCTGATTGACTACATTCTTTACTAGAAAGGCAACATAGATGTGGTACATACCTATGAATTATAACTTTTATGCTTCCTTTTTACTTCATAAAATTCACGTATGGATCAATAGATTCTATAGCTAGTATACTAATTAACTGGCTTTTGCATAAAGTCAGTTCATTAACGTCCCTATGGCCATATTGTGCAGTTAGTCTATTTATACATTCAGTTCTCTGCTGAGCTGCCATAATTGCCCTGTTGTAATTTTATGATGTGATTGGAAGTTCCTTGAACCTATAAGCAAGACAAATATTGCTGGTAGTAAGAAGGGGAAAAGACATTCTTATAGACCATAATTATCTTGAAATTGTGTATAACTAAAAGACAAGCAGAGGATAAAAAGCCCTGATCAGCTGCCTAAGATACATTATATTACCACCCACCAATTTATCCATCATCCTTTGAAAACATATTCATGCCTTTTGTAGTCAAAGCTTCTTCAAGAAATTGGCATTAAACGTAATGCTGATAAATTATACACCTCTGGTAAAACCTACAGAACTATATACACGCTGTTTTTTAGAAAGTATTTTAAACATTTGATAGCATTTCTAGTCAATCTGTATTCTTCAACAAAAGGCAACTTTTTACTATAAGAACATAAATTACTATAAGAACATAAATACCTGGCAATAGTATATAATATACAAGATAGTATGCTCTACTTCTGTGGTTGATCATAAAATAAAACTAATTGGATTAGTAAATTGGGAAAACCAGTAATGACTGAAGGAAACACTACATCTTAACCTTCCATTTTCAGTACCATACTTTATTAAGTTTAGAGTACAAATTTTGAAATGCTGTTATGTGCTCAAGCTTAAAAACAAAGAGAAACTAATAGTGTAGATAGGTGTTTTTCTTGTATCTATTTCCTTGACTTCACAGCATTTAGCAGCTGTATTTTTTCAGAATTCAGCACTTTAAAGTTAGTGCCAACTGTTTTGATGTTGCACATAGTGTATATGTTTGAGAATGGAATATAGAAATTTAAGTATCTGATTATGTTTACTGCAGAGAAAAATCTTTTAACGTACGTACATTTTAAATATGGCATTTTGCTTACATGTCATTTGGGAAAGATGGAAAAAAATCCACATCTGACACACTGGTTATACTGAGCAGACCTGAAGAGCAGAAAGTGCACACTTACTCTTTTCCTGCTGACAAGATGAATGCAGAAAGAGTCTAGCAAAATGTACTTTTGTTATTTCCAGGGTATTTAATAAAACAACAATAAACAGCCCACTGAGATTCAGTGTTGTATTACTGTCTATGCAGGCAACCTCTTGAAAGAGAGCATGGCTGTTTACGTGGATGTTTTTATTCCAGCAAAGTGCATTCAGCTTAGATGCTTATGCCTTTCCCTCGTAGATATGACTCTAAAACATTGTTTTGCCAAAAGGAAGAATGCAAACCTGGAAGAAATTATCAGGCTGGTGACCAGGGCTTTCCAACCTTCCATTTTCCAAGAGCTCTGTTCTAACTCCTTCCTGTCATCTGACGTTTTTAGATGCTATGTAAAGAAATTAAGAGCATAATGACTTGAAAGGTAAAAACACATATGCAAGCAAGGCTACATTCCTATCATCCTTTTTTTCCCAACTGTATTGTCAAAGTGCATGAGCTGGTTACAGTAATTCAGCTGCTGCGTGCTGTTAAATGTTATCGCTTAAAACACAGAAATCCAATTTCAGTTACAGCACTGGTGAACTTTCCCACCACCTGTTACCTCTCTCTCTGAAGCAAAGACGGCCTTATGGCACAAAGACTAGGGCCGAAGCTAACCCTGGCAGTTCTCTCAGAGTTTGAAAGTTCCTTTGCAAAATCTGTATTATGTAGCTCTTGCTCATTGGTTTGCTTTTCCTGCTTGCATGGTGGGTAAATGGAATCTCTGTTTTACATTTTTCTGAGTTAAAATGCATATATTCTAATTATATTATAATACATAATTTTCTGCATTACAAAACTCTGTTGTAAACTTGACAGAGAAGTTGTATGGATGTGAAAAAGGGTGCTGGAAAAAAAATAATTACTTCTGTTTAGAAAGAATGAAATCCTTTTAAGCAGTACCCATGCTGGGAACCCTCTAAAGTATAAAGCTTAGTCTTTGTCAAAAGTTCAGACCAATCTAATAAAAAGATTTTGCAGAACCAGAGGAAATAAATGTTTGGCTTTAATTTCAGGTTACCTATCTACAAATCCCTGGCTGTTTATTAGTGTATTTTCTTTCATGATCTTAGTGATGGAGTTATGTTTGATTTTAAACACAGATCTTCCTTAGCCTGTGAAATGTATCATGAAAGTAGTAGCTTGAAAAAAGGCAAATGTTTAGGTCTCAGTGTTCACAAATAACTATTTTACAAATCTAGTCCATAACTTCATAGGACTGATTTGCTCAATCAGTGAACGATTGCTTACAATGCTCGTCTCTGAAGGCGTTCACAAATAATGCTGTTATTAAACCTCTTTAGGCTCATGCGTTATACACTGCAGCGGAGTTTGCAGAATTTTGAACAAGAGTGCTCTTATTTAGTTTGTTCATGTTACTTTTTTGGTGTGTCATTCTCCTTTTTGTTGTATTTATCTTTTACTTAAGCACTCATGAACTGATTCAGAAAAAGATGAAATTAAAAAAGAATAATCATCTAATTGCATATGCATTCCTGGGTTTCAATGCTGTGAAATGAAACCATAGTGCAAGGAAGGTGTAGCAAAGAGTTCTGTGACTTAACTGTAGGGTTTACTGCTGTGTATGTGAAGTAGAGAATTGATTCTCATGGGCTAAAAAAAAAATATCCCTTAGAGTACACTCAATTAACCTTTTTTATTTCATGACATCCATTTGGTCCTTTTGAATGTCAAAGAAAAATTTCCGTGGAACAGCCTTACCTGGAGATGGAAATAAATTGTTTTACAGGGGCCACTGAAAGGAAAAAATTCTGTATCCAGTCATTTGTGTTCTTTTACAATAGACCTTGTCTTTGCAAGTGTTTACAATCAAAATAGAATCCTCCCTCCTTTTGGGAGCAGGGCCCTTTAAACTGACATTTATATAATACATTATTGAAAAGAAAATATTTACCCTTCATGACTTACCATCTGGTGTCCTTTTAAATACTAAAAATTAACATAATGAAAAAGAGCCTTAAATTCATGTGAATTTCAACTATTTAAGTATCATTGCAGTTAGACATCAACAGTGAATCGTACTCCCCTTAATATATTTTATTTCACGTTTCTTCAATCATACCTGTGATGATACTGCATTGCAAAATAGTTGCATAAAACCATGTGAACAACGTATTTAGTGATACATAAATAGATAATGTTTCAAATTCTTAAGCAGTATTAATTATACAGTTATTGAAACCCATACGGATCAAAGGATTTTATATAAGAGGGATTTCACATACAGCTTGGATTATGTTGCTAAATAATAGCACAGTAGTACTTCTTTAGCATTGTAAAATAGCTTAGAGAGGAGTATGATGCCTATAGTTGGTGTAATGCATTGGTAATTAAGAGGGTGTGAGGTTAAGCTTCATTAACTGCTGTGGGATTGTATCTTGGATTTTATTATCCCCTAGAGAACACAAGAAGTGAGAGAGGTCAAACTGTTAGAATCTGATTTTGCTTCGTGCATCTGCCGAAACAAGGCAGGCGAAGTGACGTGGCAGCAAGCACAGAAAGACCTGGACTGCTAGCAGATATGGGTCGAACACCATTTTATTACAAAAATGAAAGACTTATTAATGGATCGATTGTTTCATGTCTGCAGTAAAACCTTGATTTGTAGGAAACAAAATTCTTTTAATTGCGTCTTCACTTAGTATTAGCACTTTAGAAAACTGTGTTTTCCCTCAACTTATTTTTTTAATTTTAAAACACAGCAACAAGCTTCCTTCTCTTTTTTCTTTCCTCCTACATCTCACTCTAGACACAGATGAATGCCCCAACCAAACCACACTTCATAACTTTAGCACTTGTCTGCCTTTTTGTGTGTTCATGCTGCATAGCAAAGGCTTGTATTTGAGTTGACCCCAAGAAAGGCTGTGTATTTTCTTTTTCTTTTTTTTTTTTTAACTAATGCACTGCTACATGCTTTGTTGTTTTTTTATATATATACTTTATGAGACATTTGTCTTTTTTTAGCCTGGGAGAATGTAACAGTTCTCAGGAGTTGACACACTGATGCCACAAAATTGTCAGTCCCAAAGCTTTTCCAAGCCGTATGATGTGGGAGCTGAGATATTTTTAAGCAGAAATAGGTTAAACGGAGATATTACAGACAGATAAATCAGCTTTACTTTTCTTAGTATTTTGGGGTTTGTTCCCGAATTCTGGATGAAATTTTAGAAGTTACTTATACAGATTTTATTAATCTCGTATTGTTCTGAAATTCTGATTGTGATTCTAAGAATATGAATTTAATCCTAAATAAGATCACAACCTCAAATCCTTTTCAAATGCTGAAAATTTCAGCAGAATTTAAGTGCTTTTTATGTATATAATGGAGAAGTACAGTTCTCAAAAGTAAATAATGATTTAGTAAGACTGCTGGAAACTGGTGTCTGTTTCTCAATTTGCAGTGAGTCTGGGAGGAAGGGAGTTGTGCTAAAACCCTGCTCTAGCATCTCCCTCACACAGGTATTTGGAGGAAAAGCCCAGACATAGCCCTCTTTAAACCTCACTCTTGGAACCTGTGCCTTCCCCTGCTCCCTGCGTGCGCTCTGTTCTTTAGTTTTCAGTTCAGTTTTTGTGTCGCCACGCCAGAAGCAGCCTGTGTTTTGTGGCTGGTTTGGCTGCTGGGCTGCTTCTCCCTTTCCGCATCTTTTATTTGTCCTTATGTTTTTAAGAACAGTCTGAGAACTGATCAGTGCTTTGTAGTTCGCGGACAGCAGCAAAACCTGAAGAGTCGTGAAGTACATATCCAACAGGCCAGCCTTTATCTTTGAGAATATATCTATGTTATGACAACTGGGGACTGTTTCTCACTTAGGTGCTCTGTATCGCTTGGACATGGTCAAGTTTTGAAAGAGCTATTTCCTTGAAACAAATAGTAACATTTAATTTGCAGCATCAGGAGAGGGGGAAGCCTTTTTTTTTTTCCCAATTCTAATTATCATGAAGATAAAAAGAGGATGTGGAAATAAAAAGAAATGTTTGGATCCTTTAAATTTTTTCAATATTGCTTATAAAGCAGGTTTATACAGCTGTGTTCTTTGTAATTCTCCCCAGTCCCAAGCCTACTAACCAGTGTTTGGCTCTTTCTCTTTCCATAGGTGATTATACAAAGATCTAGTTAAAAGATGTTTCACAGTTAGGGGCTGGGATGCATCAATCAGTACATCCTGAGGAAAAACAACATTAGTGATCACCTATGTATTCTGTTTAATCTCTTTATTATGTCAGAAGTTAAAACTAAACTATTTTGGCAAAAAAGTCTACTTCAGATGGATGATACTTCCATAGGTTTTCATCGCTGGCAGCCAAAACCTTTATCAGCTTCAACTGAAACCATTTTTCCTTGACCTCTTCATCTTTTTCATTGGTAGCAATAGTTGATGCATATCACAGTGCCTAGTTTGGTCAGAAAACTTGTTTGCACTTCGTTCCTCTAGCACGCCTAGAACCCCAATGCATAACTTCTGAATGCTGTTTCTACTGCAGACATTCTTTTGTTCTCCACCTGTAGGAACTTCCAGCCCCTTTGCTTGATGATACCTACAAAAATGAATTGGGAGAAGAAGCAACAGCCATTAAGTCTGAAGATTTTCAGGATTCTATGAAAATAGCCTGGCGCTACCAAAATTTACCAAAAATGGAGGTAATCAGAATTTCATACTTTTTTCCTCTTGCGGGCAAAATTCATTTGCAGAGCAAATTCTTTTCAGTAGAATCTAGAACTGATAATGCACAGTGTTACGTGATTGACTCCTGAGGGCAAATTATCATACACCGCTATATCTTTTTCATTACAAGAGATACAGAGAGAAAGGGAATTTGAGAGTTTGCAGGCACAGTAAAACTTAATGCAGACGCTAATAATTGAAAAGTAAAAAACAGTGAAGTTCCATGGGATTTTTCCGTGAGCATTATTAAATTGAGACAGCTTTCTATGAAAATCTGACTAATTTGGCCACTTCCAAACTTTGCCCAAATGTAGCTGTACACAAATTCCTTAAGTAGGTGTAATCAACACTACTTAGCAGATCTCTGTAGTGCAAGTACTGTGTGGTAGCAAGCTTGTTGACCTGCTTATCCATGTGCATAACAACTAAAGTAAGCACTTGAGATTATATCAGCTTCACTGTCACTAGAAACTAATCACTATGTGGGGAGAGTAGAAGAAACAAGTTCAGTGGTCAGTCTTTCAGAGTTTACAGTTGCTAGTCTTTTGTGAATGATATATGTCCCATGGCTGATGACTTTCTTATTTAATCCAGTGGCCCAGTCAACCTTTAATAAAATTGCCACATTTTTTACTGTCCGGAACAAAAAACTTGTTTTTACTAGACATTTTAGCCTACATTTGTAAATTCTGATTTAGATGTAGTCATAGCTGCCTGGTAAGTTGGGTCGTATTCTTAAAAAACATAATTGGAATGTGACAAAATGATCTTACAAGGCTTGGCATGTTTGGTTTTCTGTGAAATTGCACAGACATGGCTATATAGTTGTGTCAGAAAAGACTTATATATGGTGACATGCCAAATCAAACAGCCTCCAGGGTAATCATATAATCTCATCAATTTTATTTTTGTGGAGCTTGCTGTGCCACTGTGAACCATCCCCAAAATAATTTGTCTAGCTTAAAATCTAGCAGAATTCCTTGTACATTGATATGGAAACAATTGCATGTTGTTAACAGATAGTGTTGTGGTGTTCTAACAACACAGAAATATACATGTAAATAAGCTAGTTAGGTGTGCCACTCATCTTCTGTAACTTCACAGAAGTAATTACTTCTTCCACTAATATAATATTTCTCTGCATGCTTAATATACTTTTCTGTGATTATTTTAACTTGATTATACAAGATAGAATAAATTGATCAATCTTTTGCAGGGTGTTTCCTTTGTTATTGTCGTTTTCTGAATAGTTGAGATGCAATATTTTTCAAGTATATGTTAAAATTATTTAAAAACCTAAAATTTGCAAATACAAGTCTAATTCTTAAGCTGTCTATACCTAAAATGTCTCAGAATATTCTAATTAGTGAAAGATAATTTTGAAAGGGATGGTTTTCAAATTTTTGTAATACAGCTACAAAATCTCGGTGCTGCACTAAATTAATTTGGTTGGTGAATCTACTCAACTGAGGAAAAATCTGATGTTGCCTTGCAGCACCCTGGGTAGTTAGTGTACTATCATTTAATTAACAACTTCAGGTGTGATTTATTCTTTGATTTTTCTTCTGAGGGAAAGAATTTCAACGTATGTTTTCCAAACTGATTGAACTAATAAACTAGTACATTTCCAAAAACTACTGTCAAATAGTTTCAAGTCTGAAAGACAGAAGATAGCTTTGCTTTTAGCTAGAACGCTAAACATGTTAGCAGAAAGCTTTTCCTTCCAATAGCTTTACAGGAGGTAAGAATGCTGAGTAAAAGCTGTGTTTGCAGTATTCTTGATGCATAACTTATTTTTTATTGCTAAGTAATAAGAGATTTCCTTTCTATGTTCATAGATATGGTTCAGATACTTCCTTACTGTTTATTAGACCTCATATAGACTAGCTAGGTAACTCATTTTTGTTCTTATGCATGGTATTTATATTAGTATTCATAACTATGACAGTTTCTCTTTACATATTGCATATATCTTGTACATCAAAAAAGACAGAAAAGTTGTAGGAAATTTATCAGAGTAACAGGTCATGTTGTGCTTGATGTGCCTTTGCCAGTTTGTTACTTTCATCTGTATCAGAGGTTAATTTCATTTAAACTTTTTGAGTATATGGATAGCCTATTTTGCAGTGCAAAAAAAAAAATTGCAGTGTGTTGGGGTTTTTTTCTTTTCCTTTTTTTTTTGAATGAACTGCTTATGTTCTTGGGGCAATATATAAACTGTCACAGCATGAAATCAATTTTCTGCCTTGATTCATCCTAAATCTGAGATTTCTAGCACATTAGTATTGCAATTAGAAACATTAACAGCAGACGGTAGCATAAAAGCACGCTCTGCTCACTGACAATTTAGTGTATTTCTTTTTGTGCAAAATAGGAATCCAGGAAAGAACAGGCTTGAGCTTCCAATCCACTAATAAATTTATCAGATCAAACTGAAGAGGAGTGGAAAGCCTCTGCTTCGCACTCTCCGCGGTCATTCTGCTAAGGCAGATTATTCATGCTTACTTGATTCAGGTAGGCTTTTTGCAAGCTTCCCCACTAAGCCTGGGAATGCAGTACGCCGAGGCCTATTCACAGGCTTCTGACATAGACCGAGCTTTTATTGCGTGGTGTTTTATTATAGCCAAATCCCAGTCTCCACCCAGTTTGTAGGCACTGTGCTTATTCTTTTGAATCAAGAGAGGTTATCACCTACCTTAATCCATGCGGCAGGGTGGATTAAGGACACCAATGTGCCTCAGGATTCTCAAAGAGGATCCTGGAAACTTCTTGTTTCTTCTTTTTTGCTGTCTTTACTAAACTCTATTGGGCCTCAGTAAGGATTTGCATCTGAAATGGGCAACCTGGAGCTTTTCTCAATGAAGACATCAGATCAAAGTTCAGTTAGTCAAGGCCTTTCTGAAACATTAAGGGGGCTTGGAAGTACACAATAAAAAGATGAGCTCTGGCAGAGATTGCAGTAAAAACATTCTGATCTGTAATCCGGATAAAGAATAGATTATAGGCCAAAGAACAGCCCCTGTTTAAATTGCTTTCAGAATCCTCCTTTTGAATAAAGTTACATTTTACTTGAAAAATATTTAGATTTTGATAGATGGTCATGTTTTTAGGACTTTCTTCTTTAAGTAAAACTGAACTGACTCTTGTGACAAGATATACATGAACAATTTTGTAGTTTTCTTTCAATTAAAAACATTATTTGTTTTAATTAAAAGTTTATGCTTAGTTTGTCTATTGTATTGGTTTTTGTAGAAAAGATATTATTATTACTATTTATATTCTCTGCTAACTGACCAGGCCTCAAATAATTAATCAAATAATTTCAAAATATTTACTCTTCATCAAATTGCCCCACTTAGTCTTAGCAGTTTCATGTCTTCTTGGTAAGCTGAAGCATGAAATAAAATTGTGGCAATACATTGCGTGATTGATTTCAGAAAGCTAACTAAATACATGCCTATGTCTGGCATGTCTGCGTTCTTTCTTTTTACTGTTATAGTACTTATTTTATTAACAAGACCAAGGTTTATTGAAACCACAAGTTTTCTGTGGTAATTGGAGTTGGAACTAAATAATTTGTTGCTCAACACACAAAAAATTATCCAGATCCCATTCTTGTAATCATACAGTATACCTGTCGTCAGTCCTGTATGTAGCAAGAATAGCAGATGTTGAAATTGGAGCAGAAGTTGTTCCAAAGAATTTTCATTGCATACACACATAAGCTAGCTCAGCTTTCAGATGGCAGATAAAGTGTATGTATTGACCTTCTTAAAAGAAAAAAAACTTTTACAGAGAGTTCTAAGTTGTTACAGATAAGTACAAACCATGGCCTGCACATTTCATATATCTGACCTTGTGAAATTCGTGATTGTATGTCTAGAACATGTGCGAAAGTATATTATTTTAGGTATCTGACTGGAATTTGGTGGCGCAACTTTGAAAGTAAGGGTTGAATTCTGTGTGAAAAATTTACCAAAACTTAATAGTAAATATTATAATGTTGTTTTACTTGAAGCTTATACTTAAGCTAAATGGGAAAAAAACCAGAGATTTCTTTCAAGTGCATTACTAGTTAATTATTTTCTTTTGACAGATAGTAATTTAATAGGTCACTGTAATCAGTATTGTTATTTCAACAGGCCAGCCCAACAACATCTACAAAGTTTGGCCATTATTACGATATTTCTAAAACAATGTCTCCAGAATTGTTTCCGTCCATAAAATGGCACAGTTTTTATCTTCCTGAAGAACTGTCTTTACAGCCTCAAATGAAAACATGGTAAGTCATAACGCCACGTGCTTCTGTCATGTGTTCAAATTTTGTCTGCTTATTAGTAGTAAAGGCTATTTTTCTATTTACACTTGCTGTGAAAAACCTTGTAGCCACGTATGGCTCACAAGCAATTCAGCTGTGGTTGCCATGTCAGAGCTACGTGCCACGACTGGTAGCAAAGCCGCAGTGGCACGGACACAGCTCGCTACACCGACCCCTCCGCTGTGGGAGGAAGGAAGCTGGCAGGGACAATTAAGGCAGACAGTACTAGGACAGCCTAGGACACAGCTGCATGTTCAGTCCAGCCCTACTGACAGCTGAGTGTGGAGACTGGGGAAGGCTATTGCTGTCTGTCTCTGAACTACTCCCTGAGCACCATGCCCCATCAGCTTTCGGAAATGTGTGTCAGGTAGCTATCAGTCTTAGGAAGATATCTGTACGGTTTTTAGGGCTGAGAAGACAGGCCATCCTTGACCTACATAGCTTAGAATGCTATATCACATTAGCTTATTATGTGACTTTTAGTTCTTATATCCTACAGCTTCACCTAAGGAAAATAAAAAATACTGTGAATAGAATTATAATCACTAATTAAGTCTTACACAACACTCCTAATTCCAGAGAAAATCGTAAACTCTTCTCTGAATGAATAACTTATTATAGTTTATGTCTAGCAGTAATGAATTAAGGAAGACCAAGAGAAAATGAGTGACAGTAGTGAAGACTTATATTAGCCTGTAGCACACACATCCATTGTATCTTTCTTGGAGACATTTCAAGTCAAGTCAAACATCAAACACAGGCTAGCTATCTCTTTGTTTGGCTCAGTCACTTAATTTGTATAATGCCTAGTTTTATAGATCCCAGTGTATAGGGCCACGCCCTGGAAGTAGTGGGGCAGTATGCTTTACTGAGATTGTTTTTCGTTACAGTACATTTTACTTTCAGATGAGATTAACTCGTATGTTCAATATAAGAAATGGATTTTAACTTTTCTACATTTGATTTTCTAAGCCATGCTCGACTCTGATATTTTTCTTGTATGCTATCCTGATAAATGTTCATCAGTCTTACCATATGAATTCTATTCTTAGTTTTGGCTTTAATCTAACGGAAAGTTTAGTTTTAGTTATTTTATTTGGCAAATTGATGGAGAACAGAGTGTGACGTGAGGAACATGATCAAATAAAGGTGGATTTTGGAAGGGTTGTCTCCTGTTCTTCTGCTTGCACACAAACATGGGCCTCGCTCAAGAGGCCTCTCCCAAGGAAATGAAAGAATTGTATTGTTGGGACTAAAGGCAGGTACCAAGGCAACAAGTAACCACCACTGGTTTTCTTAGACTGCAGTGCAATATGATAAGGGTCAGGAAGGAATAAGGAATTCTCAGACAGAAATCTGTGGGAACTTTGAAGAGATGTGTGCATCTTTTCCTTTACAGGCAGCCATTTGTCTTCTGATTTGGATTACTGTCTTTCCTGAGCATGGCCACCACTGGTTTTATATTCCCTGTATTACAAAAGGTTGCACAAGGGGAAGACTAAGACAAGGTGGAAAGAAGAATTTTTCAGAATTAGAGCCCCTGAAATAAAGCTTATTTCCCCGTAGAGAAATGGAAGATTTTAGCTTCCCATGACTACAGTCATTCAATTTTGACATATATTTAAAAAAAAATAAACTGAATAGAATCTCAAATTCCGCTCTTCAGTGTTGTACAACTTGAGGTCTTAAAAAAAAATGATGGAAGTAGAGAAAAGCTGCTTCTCCCATTACCCCGGTCCCCAAATTGATGTGCACCTAGCACAGTTAAGATCAGCAAACTGGACTACCCAATTTAGATAAGGAAAGAATAGGTTAGAAGATATATAAATGTTTTCAAGCTGGGACCTAATGAAGTTATGGTAAAACTTAATGAATTGTCAAAGTTGCACAAAGTCACAAATGTCAGAGCAATGCCTGTCTTTAAGGAACGGGGAAGGTGAAGACATCTGCTGGACAGCTTCAGTGCTCAAAAAAATACTAGAGAAAAAATATCTTTTTTTAAGCTTCTAGGGCAGTTTCACTCATGTGTTTCCTTTGCCTGCTTATGGATATTGAACTGAGCTAGAGTCAAAAGGCTCTAAAATAAAACAGGAGATACTCTCCATTGATAAAGCCTGTTACCATGTCAAAGGAGGAACACAGACTGGTTTGACAGTTTTCTTTTTGTCATGTTGATTGTTAAATCCTTATCTGCTAAATAAGCTGTCACTGAGTCCCAGTTGAACCTGAGTGAAGTACAAGGCTTTAGCCCAGTGTTGCGTCTGGTGATAATCTAGTACTGGTTTGGCTTGATAGGTTTCCTAAGCAGTGGGTATTGTTATTGCAGTCGTAATGGCAAATTTGGAAAAAAAATGGAAGGAATAATTGCATGCAGATTAGATAATAGTATTGAAATTCAAGGTGATTTAGGTCAGTGATCTGGAATAAACTGTATAGAATTTGGTGACAACATGCACAATATTGTACTAGTTAAAATAATTAGTTGAACAAATAAAACAGTGTAGCAGGTCTCCAGAAGAAGATCTGGGATTATAAAGAATTTTGAACATAAAACATATTAGTGTTGTGTGATTAATACTATCCAAAGGCATATTTTCAAAAGTGTGGAGGTGATAAACTGAAATTTAATGTGGAAGACATGAGAAGTACTTCTGCTCAGCCTCTAACAAAACTGTCCGGTGTTTGATAGCATCTTTCAGGAAAAATCTAGATCAGTTAGAGAAGGTTGTGAAGGTGAGGATCCATCTACAACGGAGATGTGTGGCCTGTGACGCAAGAATGGAAGTTCTTAGGCAAGTCTAAGCAGAGCGAGTAGTGACTCTGTTGTCTCCCCAAGGCAGGACAGGCAGTCATAGGCTACAGGAAACTGTAGTGGTAGAAATACGGGCTGGAAATAAAGAGAGATTTTTCTGATGATTAGCTCGAGAAGCTGCCTTGCAGACGCAGATTGGGAGTGCTGTGGAATCTCCATCATTGAACATTTCTAGGGACAAGTTAGGTAAATATCTGTCAGAGATGGTTTGGATGTAGTTCGTCTTGCCTTGAGGCAAGAAGACAGACTACCTGACCTCTTGAGGTCCTTTTCCTCCCTATCTTCTGTGATTCTTTAATACACATTAGTCACAGTGTATTAAATCCAATACTAAGTATGTGTGTTACCAGTTGTTTCACTGCTCTCAGAACGTTTATGCTTTTACAGAAACCAACAGACCTGTACTGTATTTTTTTACAAAAGTTGTGATGAAAATCTGAAGGAAGCGTTCCTTTCTCAAGAAGCAAAAACAAGCTCACAATCCTGTCAGTGGGATTTCATTGAAGTGGATAAAAGGGAGAGGGAAAGGCTGTTATTTTGTTGGCACTGCTGCTTGGAAAAATCAATACAGTGCTTCTCTCTTCTCAGGCAAATTTCAATATATCATAGAATAGTAAAAATTTCTATTCTCTTGATTAATTAGACTAGACAAAGAAAGTAATATTAACCCTTCTGACAGAAGTCAACAATTTGCGTTAGACCTCATTGTTGGTTGCTTAAAGGTCCTGCTGAGAGCTTGAGCTAACCAGTTCTGCTCTGTGGTACGGTGAGCTAGGAGCATGGACATGGCTAGGCAGCATGTATCCACTTAGAGAATGTGATTTCTTAATCATAAGGTCCTCAGGCTATGGTCTTAAATGCAGAGCCAAAAAAAACACCTAGTCACAAAATGCTAATTACTATATAGCATTGCAAAATCTTCGTAATCTTGTAGGCTGTGACAGTGCCTGAAAAAATGTGCAGGAAGCCTGGAAGGAACTAAATAAAAAGTTACAAAAAGGACTTGAAATTCAGAAAATCTCTAAAAATACATTTTTTTTTTCAATTTAATTTATCAAAAGAAGATTGACAGAAAATGTGTTAACACTGATAGATGACAAATCCTTCAAAAATAAGGAGACATTTTTAAGAAAAGGGATGGCTCATTATTGAAATAATTTACATTAATAGGCTGTGTATTATGGGATACTTGTGAAAGATTTCATGACTTCGTAAAGGGTATACTTTGCAAGGTATGTATCAGGAAAGACATTTCTGAATTATATTTTCTCTTAAATTGTGTAGGAGTGCAGACCAAAATCAGTGGTGTGTTGTGGGGTGTTTTTAAATCTAATAATGTTTCGCTTTTGTCACTAACACAGAGGTTGAGGAAGAAGTGGAAACTGATAGTTTTGCCTAGTATATAATTTTCTGTAAGTGGAACTGTTGCTGGATGATACCTCTTTTTAGTATCAGAAATCACAAAAAAATAGGAATTAGCAGGGGGGGGAATAAAAATTTTTCCCTCTTCTGAAAATGTTTCCACGTTATTTCAGCTAGCATGATCCATTCTAAATATTTGTAATGTATCACAACATGGTTTAGGTTTAGGCTGAAATTAACTGTTACAGTCCTGTACCTACAGCCATTGAAGAGGCACCTTAAATTTTGTAGTTGTTGGGAAAAGTGCATCTAAGCCAACGTAACACATTCTACGTGGAGTTCCTAAGCTGTATATTCTGCAGTGACGATCTAGTAATTGTAAAGAAAGACTTTTAGAAGCTCAAAATAATTTATTTTTTTTTTAACTTAAGCTGTCATATGTGCTGATGAGAGCAAGATGTTCCTTATGTGTTGTCCTTTTTGAGTGGAGATTTTTTCAGTTTTCCTTATAGAGGCCTGCTACCTTGTATGTAGTTAATGTTCCTCAAAGAATGTACTTATTCTATAACTTAAGTGCACCTCAATTCGCCTTGTTGACCAGCCTTGGTTTTCCATTTTTCAGTTAGAGAATGACTAGCTTTGGAAGCCTTAGGTTTCATTTTTCCTCCTTGAGCTTTGGAACAGTTCTCTGCCCCCAGTCTTCTTGTAAAGGAGGACTTGCAAAGAAAGGAGATTCTTTGTTTGATTAGACAGAATTGGTTATTGACTGGCCTCTTACTTTACAATTCAAGATCAAATTTGGAGGTTATGTCCATGATTTGTTCACCCTAAACTTTGGATCTTTTTCTTTCCTGTGTTTTTGCACGCAGGTCTATGTAGCTGCTTTTTGGCAGAGGTAGATGAAGAGTACTGTGTTTGCTCTCTCTGTAGTTCTGGTTCCTGATGGCTAAATGAGACTACAGGATCCCCTTTTGGATAATCTCTCAAAATGGGCAGAAGTTGATTGCCCATGATAAACATTAATTGAAAACAGACTGAGAAGGCTGTTCTCCTAAAGGAAGTAGTAAATGGGGCTGGGTGTTTGGTTCCAAAAGAAGGCATAAACCTCCTCTTTCTTATCTTATTAATTTTTATGTTAGGAAAGGGCAGTTGTGCCCTGGCCCTAATGCTGGGACCAGGTTAACAGGGTTGTGCAGCTGACAGCACCTGTTCTCCGGCTGTTGTTGCTAGGATATGCTGCTGTCCTTGTCATCGCATTGCTAGAGCTGGTAGTCAAGAGGAAGGCAAAAATATCCTCTGTGATAACTCTGTGCATCGCAGAAAAGGCTTACTTTCTCCCCTCTACTTCTGTCATCATTGCTCAGTTGCAGTTACAAAAAGAGAAAGTTTGATTACCAAGGAAACTAAAATAATTAACCTGTAGTTTTTCAATAATACTTGTAAGTTTTACCTTAAGAATGCTTGTGCTTTTGAAAAAGAATAAATTTATCTAATGTCTAGATTTCCCGATAAATTTGGTAAAGAGGTTTAACTGTCTTGCCTAATGGGGTATCCTTATACATAATACGGCTATTTGTCATACCCTTGATAACCGAACCTTTGTTAACTGCTTAGAAACCATCAACAGAGAAGTCAGAGGCTCTGTTGTAACCGGGATACCTTCTTGCAGCTCCTGCTTTATCCATTAATAAATTGCTACACAAAAAACAAGAGTAAAGAAGGAATTGTTTAAACTCATTATCAGAATTAAATGGTGTTTAGTAACAAACCCAAAAAAGACTCGAAGTTAGAAAATAAGAAATATCTTTTTTCCTTCTTTACGTAGTATGATAAACATTGCCAGAAGGGTAACGCAACTTGTTTTTATAAATAGTGTTTCCACATGTTTTGAATGTCCTTATTTACATAGCATGGATCCAGTTCAAGTAATCCATTAATGTTTTAGCAAGAAGTAGAAAAGCCCCTATTTTTAGATTTTTAATAAAATCTATATGAATTACACGATTTCTTTAGTTCTTTCTTTGCTGCAAATCTTTTTCCGATTAATTAATTGAAAATCCCTTTTATTTGTTTGTTTTGATTTTGTCACCCTTTAGTTCTGCTAAAGTTCTAGATGTTTTAGTCTTTTATCCACTAACTTTTAAAAGCAAATTAGTAACAAATTGGGAATTGGCAAGTATTGCAATTGCAGTAAGTTCTCTGGCATCCCTATAGACAGCCTGGTAATACTCCAAAGTAAGTGACAGATAGACAAATTTGAGAATGTTAGTTTTGTGGTGACAAAGACCCCAGTCACCTTGCCCTATGGTGCATACAGTGTTCCTGACTGTAGCTACAAGATAGTTGCAAACTCCTCCTTCCTTGTGTCTGTGAGCAGCAGTCTGGGTCTCTTCCAAAAGGATAGAGGAGTATCCAAAAGGATACACGAATGCTTCTGGTTGTTGTGAAGTTTTGCAGATTCCCTCCAGCTCTGGCAAAACTGAAGAAATGGCAGCACTGAGTAAACAACAGGGGTTGTGGACGTGTTGCAATAACTGCGGGCAAGAAGAGAGGAGGTATTTTGGCTATAGCATGGGGGCTAGAGCCCTCTTCCCTGCCACCTACCCTGGAAACTGACCCCTGCAATGTTGTATCAATACAATGTTTAACAGCCATTACTATTGCAATTAAATTCCAGGACGGTTTTGACTTCATAAGCAAAAATTTACACATTCTTTTCTGTTTGAGGTGTTCTTTTTTGTATAGCAAGACAGACTTTACACATTAAATGTCACATTGAAATTATATATTGCCAGTTATTTTCAGCTGTGAACTTCATAGACGGTATGACATTATTAAGGTCCGTCAGTTACGCCAGTATCTGGTGCGGTATCACCAAAAAAAAATTAACAATAAAACAAATTACCTATATGAACTCTTGAATTGTGAAAATGCCTCCTTTTTTGTTGGTTTTGATTGTTGTAGGAGTTGCATGTATGAAAGTTTCTAGTAACAGAAAGTCAACTCTGTTCATCAGGGCATTGATTAGTATACTTCCAATAACAATTGGGTAGATCTTTGTCAGTTATAGGAGATTAGTACTGTGGTGTAATGGTTTCAGCTTTAAGTTGATACATTAAATCATTAATCTGCTAGATGTAAGTGAGCCTGACATAATTAAGTTATCTTAATCCCTACAGATTTAGCCTTCAGTAAATGTCTGAACACTGAATTAGTTACCATGAACGCAATCGCAAATGCTTCTAATGTCTACTTTGTTCAAAGAAGTTTGGGGTTTTCTTCTTTGACGCTTTTTTCTACGTGACACTTTCAGACTGAAAGCTTCATCTGCTTATTTTTGATACAACTGTTAGAAACATGTAGGAGAGTGTTAGAATGTGTTACGAAACTATTTCTTCTTGCCAACAGCAATATGAACAGTGCTTACGCCAGGCTGCTGCAGTCCATTCAGAGGATTGTTTCCCAGGAGGGGTTTGATGGCTCTGATCCCCAGGTACTGAAGACCCTCATACTCTTCTGTAATCCTGTAACTAATGTTGTTTTCTGAATTTTCAAGGTTGGCACATGAAGGTCTTGGACAGAGTGACAATGAACAAGCTGTTTCTAAGCATTGCTAAAGTAAACAAGCAAAGTAAATAGAGTGTGGTTCATATTTCAGTGTGCATTTAGAGTTTTTAGCTGTTGCAGATATGAAGACCATGAGAGAAAGAACTTTAAGCCAACATTAGTAAAATGCACTTTCTGTGCAATTAGCTAATAAACATAATATTGCCAAATATAGTGTATTAAGCAAAACGCATTTTCCCCTACAGAATTTTTTTCATACTATTGCTGTAGCAATAATATGTTCGGGATTCTTGAGATTGAATATGTAATCTTAAACTTTCAGATCTTTTTCAAAGTTGTTTTAACTGGAGCGGAGTGAATTTTTTAATGAATTAAATTGTGTGCATCTTTATGTAGTGAGCATTGAAATACAAGTAAAGAAATAAGAATGCTATTTCAGCTTACAAATCAAAACAGCTCGCCACACTTCTAAAGATCTCTACTCTTCGTAAATCATACTGTGGGTAATCAAAAACATTTTAAGCATAGCGACATAGAATGAAAACTGCTTTCTAATTTGAGCAGTGCCCTATCTATTATTCTTTGTCATATTCAATAATATATGAATTCTCTGGAGTTGATAGAAATAAAATGATAAATTATATATAAAGCATAATTGATAGGTAATTATCTTTACTGTTGTACAATAGAAATGTTGCAGTAAAAGTTAATTAGTATAGATGCTGGAGAGCCTCAAAGAATTTATTACAAGACTGCGTACTATTGCTAGCTGAATATCTCAGAAATCATTTCTGAGGGGAAGATCATGTTGGAGCTTTGTGTCTAACGGTGTGTTTTAGAAACATTACCTGCACAGAACACGTGTGTGTACGTTTCAGCTGTATGTGCTCAGTGCTTGGTCTCTGCTGAGGTAGTTTGCCCTCCCTTTGGTGGCAGTGCCAGCCTGGAGAAGTAAATTGGTCCCTGACAGGCACCTCTCTCCGCTCGCTGTGGTAGCCATGGCAACAGGCATGTTGTCCTGTGGTACCACACGGTGCGCAGAGATGCTCCTCCCGTCTGCTGACAGGTCCTGGGGAAGGCCGAGAGCTTGTCGGCTGCAGAGAGCTGTGCTGAGCGAGACCAACACCCTGCCAGCCTCCAGCCAGCAGCCGAGCTCCTGCTGGAGAGATGAACCTGGTGTCTCTTACTTTTTGCTGTGTGTTCCTGATCTATTTTTTTTACATGTAAAAGAAAATGAGGATTGATCAGAGACAGTATTTGGGAGTTTTTGGTTGCAAGCAGGGGAAGATTAAGCATCATGGATAGTTATTTTCTGTAATTGTCGTTCATTGCTTTTTTGACACTAGTAAGGCATTTTGAAACAAAACCAGAACTGTGACTTAGATGAATTTAAAAGTACATGTTTGCTAAATGATGTATATAAGTTTCTGAGGTGAAGCTGCAAAAGTTAGGAAAGGAGTCCTTTTTCAGGCCAGTTCATCCATCTAGAAAGCCATTAGCGCTTGTGTAGTTGTTTCTTTTGCAAGGGAGATAATGCGTGTGATTTCCTGGAACAGCTTCCTTTACATTCTTTTAAGATTCCTCTTTTCCCCGTGCATCATCTTTCTTTGTAGACTCAAATTTTGTGCATTTAGAAGCAATATATAATACACACTTCTTAAAAATACATCCAGACTTGAATGTAATTATGGACCAGGACACACCTTGTACCTTTTTGTCTTTCAAATCTACAAGAAGTTCACCTCTCTGCTACTCCGTATCCCCTTCTGTTTACTGAGCCTTCAGAAGTACTTTTTAAGTAGCCGGATATAAAGACTGTAGAGTAAGGACAAGCCTGTATTCTTCTGTACCTGTGTTCATTCTGTAATAGTAATAGTAGTGATAATAATATATGAACTTCTGAGAAGTTTGTGCATGTATGCTCTTCCACCTCAAAATAATTCTCTCCCTGTTGGGTGGGTGCTGTTGGCAGTGGCTTTCATGATGTACACAGAAAACTGAAAAGGCCAAAATGTAGCAGGGAGATATTAAACTTTGAACAGATTTGTTTACTGACTTTAAGTAAATCCATTGATCACTGTCTGTGAATGACAGAAGCTGATGCCATTAATGCTTCATTTTTTGTACTGTGAAATATAATACTTCCAAAATCTCTACACTGTGAAGGCCTAGAAATGTGTTGCTTGTTGGATCTGGTTCAAAGGAAAAGTTTAACGTGACTGCTAAATCTTTTGTATACTTCTGGCTACTTTCACATGGATATGCCAATGATCCCTAGACTTACGACTCCTTCTTACTAGTATTTCAAGAGGGGTCTGGAGAAAAGAGAGCAGAATGTGTCTCCCCCCCAGCTGACAGAGGCTTTATCGCAATTAGGAAAATTAGTGAAAACTGCCTTTAGAGGTTTAGTAGACCTCTCATGAAATGGTCGGGCATCTCTAAGACCTAGTATGGTTACTTAACATTAATTTTCCAGGACTTTCTGCTGTTGGCCATCATAGATAAATATTTCTTGACTGTGTGGGCCTTATGACAGTAACTCCTGTTTGAGGTATTAAGCTACAGAAAAGTTTGGCTGAAGTTAAGCAAAGCAATTGCCGGATTGTTCACAGTGACTGGAACATCTTTGCCAAGATCTGTTTGGAAATTTGGATCTGAGTGAGCTAAACCCAGAAATACAAGCAGCAGTTTTACATCCTTGCTAAGGTTTCCTAGTAACTCTTTGCTGATGATCATTGAGTAGGAATCCTTTATAAACTGAGCGTGGTTTTAAGTCACATACAATAGCACTTAGTTGTTTCAGAATATTTGGGGGTTTTCACGATTGATAACAGAACTTTTGTAGGTCACTATATTTCCTTATTTCTTTGGTGTACTTTGGAGCTCAAGTTTGGTGCAACAAAGGGCAACAAAGTTGGGAAGGATTGGTTTTTTGTTTGTTTGGAGTTGGGCCTTTTTAATAGTCAAAATCAGAATTCTTGCTGCCGAAGCAAACATTGTTGCAAAAACTACATGAAATTCCAAACTAAGGAGAATATAAATGATCTAGTGATATAGCTAAAAAAAAAAAAAAATGTTATCCTACTCTTTACTGCAGGCTTTTTATAGAATATTAGACTTATTCCATAAATGAAATATAAAAAAAGCCGCTTGTCAGAGCGTTGTGGGTTAGAAATTCTATTACTGAAATAAATATGTCTGATATTATCTGGTGTTGGAATAGATTTATCTTTTATGATTCTTGTAATTTAATATTGTGAGGCAAGCATCTGTTATCCTTTATCCAATAAGAAAACTAATACTCTGATGCAGTTTTATCTGTGTTTGTATGCATGGTCTTCATATGAATATTCTTCATAACAAAAAAATTCTTCTCATTAAAAACGATTCTGTAAGTTTTATGTATATTTGCTCTGAAATTTTGAAATAACTGAACAATTTCTTCGCACAGTCAATATCCATTATATCTGAATAAAATTGTTTTCTTAAATGCCTGATTTTGTACTATTGCTTAAATGCACATCAAGAAATGCATGAATCAGCTCTGATTAGAAGTCCCTAAAGAATATTAGACTAGCTTCTGGTTTTCCTATTCCTTTTAAAACTCTGAACATCTGAGCCTAGCAAATACCAAAGAGAGAAGTCGCACTGTGTTGAACTATCCTGTTCTTCACATGGTAGAGTAAAAAATTAATACTACTTAAGTAAAGCTTGCAAAGCCTGAGACTAGAGAATCCACCAGATTTAAAACATATCGCTTTCACCAAGATTGTAAGCGAATTGACAGATCAGCTTGCTGTGTAAGCCGTGAGAGCTGGAGAAATGCAGAGCCATGTGGTATGACTGTGTGTCACAGCTCGGGCTCTGTCTACCCAAGGTGGAGAAGGAAGTATTTTTAAAAGTAGCCTCTTGTCTTGTCAAAACCTTTCCTCTGGATTTCCAGAGAGGCTGTGCAATGTTTTGTGCTTGGTAGTTGCTGTTCGTTCCAGCTGGTGGAAATGAGTATCTATAATTGATCAGAGCAGTTTGCTCTAACAACAAGTTTCTAAAAGCTTTTAGTTATCTAAACTAATCCTTTACATATACGTATGTATTTTGGAAAAAGCTGGCCTTTAAGTATGAACCCTGAACTGCAGAAATGTATCCTTGCTCACCATGTACAGGAAGTCTTTCAACAAGAGTGCTTATTGTCTCTCCCTGGTTGATAGCAGATATACCAAAAACCCTTTTGAAAGATCACCAAGAAAGATCACATCAAATAAACAGAAATGAGATTTGTCATCACAGGAGATGACTTTTTACTTTGCATAAACAAATTACAACTCTGGCTTCATCATCTGCCCCTTCAGAAAAGGGGCTTTATCTTAGCTGCTGCCTCTGCTGAGTGCTCTTCTGCCAGAGTCCTGCAGGGCAGCAGACAATCTTTAGGGAGGTAACATATGAGGCTGTTCAGGATTTTGCATGTCAAAGCAGCCTAGATTCTGGTACCCAGTAGCTCACTAAAGCAGATCCAGAAACACTCATGTCAAGGGAAACACTCATGTCAAGGACTTCAGGAAAGGTGTAGTCCATAAGAGATGATCTGTTGATGTCCTTCCTTAGGTGGAAGGAGTTGAGAGGAGTTTAGAGACTTGCAGAGACTAATAAAACAGTGGAAGAGCCACGTGTTGCCGAGGCAGCCAACCGACATTGTTCATTTAGAAGTAGCAGAAAAAATGAAGCTGAAGCCAAGGGTAATCAGGTTATGAAAGTAACACAGCAGAAAGTTGAAAATAGAGGGAAAAGTTGTGTTTGATTACTCTCAGACCTTTCCAACTGGGAGAAAAGATTCTTTTGCATTTTTTTGAGGCAGTGATGGAGAAGTGAAAGGACATGAAAAATCATAGGATTTTTGGGATTTGTGTCAGAATATACTTAGATTTAGCTGGTTAAAACGTTTTTGGTATTTCTGTGCTGTCTCTTACACTTATACTTGCTTATCTGATGTAGCATGAGAGTCAGTGAAAAAGGCCGTTTCATTTGTAATTTTTTATAAGATTGTCTGAAATTAAGCTGTGATTACATAAATTATGTAATTATATGGATATGAATTCTATAAATAGTGTTTTTTAAATACATTACACAACATTTTCCTCTTAATGTTTAAAAACTAACGAGCACCTTTTTTTTTTTTTCCCAATAGAAAAAACAAAAGAATATTTTGCGGATAGGAATTCAGAGTCTGGGTTCCTTGTTGTGGGGTGATGACATTTGTAGCAATGATACTCCTGAAGATGTTCATAGCCTTACAAAATTTCTGTATGTTCTTCGTGGCCTCCTCAGAAAGTCTTTGTCAGCCTGCATTATCACAGTGCCTGCTCACCTTATCCAGGTAGGAATGCTGTCTTTGCTATATTTCATAGCTGATACATCAGTTAGCAGAAATTTAAAGTTTATGATAAGAAAATAAATGCAATTTTGGGCACTTTGAAAACTTTTTTTGTTCAAAGGGCAAAATGAGAACATAACTTCACAGTAGTGTTTCTATACTTTTGTGGGACAGTCATGCTGCAAAATTTACACTGACTTGAGTGTAAAACCTATTAGATACAGGTGTGCCTTAGGTGGGTCTTAGTTTTCTTTTGAGAAACTGTCAAAATTCCAGAAAATTTAAAAAAGTAAAGAGAATCCTGCTAGCAATCTTTTTTAATCTTTTTTTTAAATATCCCTGTGAGCTTTTCTGCTACCTGCAGAATGCTGGTTAGAGTTTCAGTACAAGACATTTCAATCCGCTGTCTTCATCCATCATGCCCATTATGATGTGTGCTTTATTTTTTTTTAAAGCCAGAAGTTGAAAGATACAGGTTTGCTCTTTAATTCTAATGTCCCCTTGTACTGGAACCAGGACCAAACGAGTTATGTTATCAGAATAATTGTCCCAGCTGCAAAATCAGAAGCTGCTAACAACACCTTTTTTTCCTGAGAATTGAATGTGTCTTTTGGAAACAAACTTTTTTTAGCAAAAGGAAAAATGTAGATAATCTTTTCTCTGCAAGTGGTAATGTAACTTACAAAACCAAAACTATTGTTCACAATGAACAGAGAACCTATAATTTTCGATATTAATTTGATTTGATTGTAGTAAAAAAATACAAGATAAAACGTCATCATGGGAGATGAGCTTATCATTAGATTATATCCTATCTTAGGTAAGTACATGACTCTCACTTATGTATTGTATTGTGCAAAGGTGTTTCAATGCCTCCAAATTTTATTTATATAGATAACTGATGCACTTGCTGCTTCAAAATAAAGAAACTTGTTTTTTGAGTTTTACCAGTGTAATCAAAAGTATATGAATACTCCTCTTGCAGTGCAAACCTCTGTCTCCTTACTTAGCTATTTTAAAATATTGGATGGCAGTCTGCATCTAAAAAGACTGAGAGTAAAATTTAATTCAATTAATAGAATTTGTGAATGTAAAAGTAACATCCTTCCTTTTACACACTGGAATTACCTGTCCATAACTGGGACATACAATCAGTCTCAGCGTACTCTTTTTTTATATATATTATGTCAATAAAAGGTTATGATAGTTCAGAGAAGTCCAGAAGCGCCTTTAAGAAGCAAACCGAAGGACAAAGTTTCGTTGCAACCTTACCTGGGAAGTTGATTTTCATTTTGTGTTTACAAAGTCCATATAAATTAGTTCCTGTGGAGTTAGGATTGAAATTATATATCACTTCTTAAATAACTGGTTTTTTAGTTTTAACAGAATTGCTTTACAGTAAGTACTAGTATATTTATAGTAAGTACTAGTATATTTATTTAGAACAAACATTATTTCCAGAATCTTTGCTTAGCAGCCTTACAACAAATGAGAACATCAACTTTAGTATTTATAGTAAGTACTGGTATATTTATAGTAAGTACTAGTATATTTATAGTTAGTACTAGTATATTTGTTTAGAACAAACAAACGTTATTTCCAGAATCTTTGCTTAGCAGCCTTAGAACAGATGAGAACATCATATTTTTTTTGGAATCGCTGAACTTCGTGTATCCTTTAAGCAGTTAACTACAGAGAAAAGTGTCATTAGGAGGAGCAAAGCTGCTGACGGTTCCTTATAGCCCACATTACTCAGTTCCCAGAGCCCTGCTGTGTAGTTGTTCCACTCTCCGAGAAGCCTGTTAAAGAGCCCCTGAGAGCATGTGTACAGCCTCCGTGTTAATAGTTAATTGGTGAGGATGGCAAGATGAGAGGACAGCCGAACATGTGGTCTCTCCGGCTCAAGCCGGAGACAGACCTTTAGTTATAATAACAGCAGCTGCTCACGTTCTCACAAGCCAGCTCCTCGCCATTCTGTTGCTGAGGTTTTGTGCTGGATTAAAAAAGTAAAGAAAATGTCTTTTCTTTCCAAGAGAATAAGGGAGGAATTTTTTTTTTCCCCCAAATGCATTTCTGTATATGGATTTAATCTGGTCAGAGCGAGTTCTAGCATTTGCTTTCCCTGTTGAATCTTCAAGTCAGTACACTGAAGGCACAGTAAATGAACACTGTTTTCCTGAAGATGTAGTGAATTCCACATTTATTCCCCAACCTGTGTTCCTGTCTTTTCTGTGTTGTCCTTTGCCTCTCAACTGTATATATTAGGTGGTCCACACCTAATTCTTCACATGAATAATTTCCATGAAGGTAAATATAAGTTCAAAATCGCATTTTAATCAAGATTTTGTCTGCATAAAATGTACAGAAAAATGGTTTCATTTTTACCTGCTTCGTCTTGAAAAAATAGGTATTTTTTTTAGTAGTGATTCATAACATATCTTGTATCTGTCAGCTCCTAGCACCAGTGAAGAAGAAATAAACCTACCTAAAATTGGTAGTAATGATTTTCAACAGGGACAATGTCTTTCCAAAACACACTACTTACTTTTTTTTTTTAATATAGCACATGAATAATGCATGTATATATGTTGTAATATATATATACACATGTAGTTTGAAATTGTTTTCTTTTGTATATTTTGCCGTACTTTGCACGCTTTACCGTGACAGGGAGTTCCACAAATTCAATCTATCTGATTTCTTTCTTTTTCAGAGTTTAATTTTGCTTTTACTTTTCATAAACTGTATCTTTGTCCTTGGCTGATGAGGCAATAAGACGAGGCTCCCAATTTTAGCTTTTCTGTATTCTGATTGGTTTGTATTTTTTCTCATGCTGCCTCCTTAATCTGCTTTTCAACAGTCACTTTTCTTTTAATCATATTTTACTTTGTTACAGTAATGTAACACAACAATGCTATTATTATTTGTCCACTTCTCCTGCATTCTAATGTCTGCTCTATCTCTTTGATGACTACTGAACATTAAGCAGTGATTTTCTTCTTGATGCTTTTTCCTCTGTGGTACACATCCACCAATGTGGTTCTTTCATTATGCCAGCTATTCATTGTCCTGGATTTAATAACTCTGAATTGCATTTATCCAAAGATGATGCTCATTCACCCAGTTTGATGGGACACTGAATGTCTTCACAGTCTCCTGTAAGGCTATATTTTGGTAAAAGACACAAATTTACAAGAAAACTGATTGTGTACGGATTTTTTTTTTTCAGAATAATTTAAAGAAAATGTAGTCCACTAAAGAACACAGGTTCTTTGTGTTTTATAGGTGAAACTTCTAGTACAAACAGTTCACCAAGAAAAAAGAAAAATCTCTGCTCTCAACCACAAAAATAGGAATACATTATTCTGGAAGAGAGTTTCAGGAAAATGACACTAAAAACTTATCCAGTTATGAATTTTAGTCAGTTGATGTGTGACAAGTTTTACTTGATTGATATTTTCTACCGATTGAACATACTCTTATCTTACACTGTCTGTCAGGTAATAAATATTGAGATACTTACAAGTATGATTAAAATAGTTGATGGAAGGTTATTTTTCAAGTCTTTGTGCTGCTTCTGGAAAATGCATTGTGCCTATAAAATCAGATGATGCTTTTTTAAAAGGGAAAACCACTTCTACTTTTAAATCCTAGCATTGATCAAGGAGAGCAGACTGCAGAGGGATTTGATTTGTTGTTACACTTCCCAAATTGAGCCAATGTTATAAAAACAAGTAAGGACCCTTTTTCCGTATGTTGATAATCTCTGTGATTTAGTAGCTAATTTTAAAAAAATGCGCTTTTTTGCTACAGTGTGACTTAAAAGGACTTCAACATCACTGTTTTATACTTGTGAAAGCTCTGAACTAGAATTGAAAATATTTTACCATTATATTTTCTTCTCTTTCTTTAATTACTAGATAAACATCTTTCCCCAAAATACTAAATCGTGTTTGTAATTCTGTTCCTGTTCTTCCCAATTTTGTATCACTTAAGTAATATTTTTTTAGTAAATGGTTATTTTCCCTGAAAGGAAATGTAATGCTTTTATTAAAGCCGTGCTTTATTTTGAACTGGAATCTGTATTACTGGTAAGGACTAACAACCATATTAGTCAGCATGTACCAAGGGAAATTAATTGACTAATGAAAAGTCACTATGAATAAGTCTTTCTACAGAACCTGTCCTCAGAGCCTGAAGTTCTGTTTAGCAAGGTATTTTCATTATTTCATCCAGTATGTTAAAAAATTAATTTCCTACAATATTAATGTTTTGATGCTTCGAATTCACTGAAGTGCATAACTTACTGTGTGTTTCAGTGTAGAAAAATTCAGAAACAAACCTTTTCACATCCATAGCCTTTTGTGCTCACACTGAGTAATTTAGCAGCTAAACTCGAAGTCAAGCAATAGTGCTTTAAAATCCATTGCTAATATAGGATTATAAGATGTAAACTCCTATAGCTTGTGAATTTCTCACAGTTTGAATCTTTATTCCTATGACAAGAGCCAAGAGTGATTGCCTGCCTTAGAACTCTTACCTTCTGAGAGTTCACAAGTGTAAAATGCTCAATAACCTTCAATATATTTGATGAGGTAGCCACTGCACACAAATTTGTATTGAGATCAAGTGTCATGGACTTTCTGTATCATAGTTAAGCAAACTTTCAGAATTCTCTGGAAAATAGAAGCTATGAAGATGGTCTTTAAATTTTTCTATATTGGGGAGTTACTTGCCCACATGTTAGTTGTCTTTTAGCTGGCTTTATTGTGAGGAACATAATGATGAAAATTCACATTGCATATTAAAAACAGCCTTCTCATTTTAATAAATCTTGCTTTTTAGGACACTATATACACATCCTTATCACCATCTCATCAACACCGTCTTTTAAAAATCAAAAATAAATCACTTTTCCAAAATGTGTATGTTAAACTTTAAAAGTTATTGAGTACATGCAACTTAACAATTTTATTTTACATTTTATGTGTATATTATCTGAA